AATTAACTTAACCTCGACAGTCGATCGGCCCCGTATAGACGCCGTATAGACGCTTAACTCGAGTTAGCGAATAGTACATAACTCCACGATAGGCGGGAATACTAGTAACGGATGTACGTACACACGCACAGACAACGCACGCACGCACGGTGTACTTGAACACAGCACGCAAACACTCATGCACGCACGCACGCATGCACGCACGTGTACATGCACACGGGCACGCAACGCACGCACGCACGTACGCACGCACGTCTACGTTCACAGGTCACGGTCACGGCACGCACGCATGTGTACGTGCATATGCAGGTACGCACGCGCGCACGTGTACATCCAACGCACGCACGCGCGCGCCACGCTCGCGCGCGATGCACGCAGTTTACGTACACACGCACGCACGTACGCATGCATAATAAATCGGTAAACAATCGCTATCGGTGATGTCGTGTAGACGGCTACAGAATCGCTAACTCGAGTTAAACGCTTAACTCGAGTTAGCTTAACTCGAGTTAAATTTCGCCGTCTACACGGCGAAATTTAATCTTAACATCTTAAGGAGGAAAGATAGAGAGGAGGAGGAGGATAGATCTTAACATCAAGTAACCATATTTTGGCAAAACATACCCTTTAGTTCTGCTGGAAGCCTCGCTTCTATTGCCCGTATAAATGAGTTGGGGTCAAATGGTCCCCTGCCTTCTTCTTTTATCGTACTCTTCGTCAACCATCTTCTTTTCTTTAGTCGTATATTTTCGGATGGCTGACCGTTGGCATCGAATTCGCTAACCGTACGTGTATTACACTGTTTCGTTCGAACCTTTGATATTGCCCAGCCCAATGACTGCACGCTGAAATTTCTGACATTCTTGCCTGGCATTCGAAATGCCCCCCCCCCATAACCGTTCCAAACACATAATTTAAATTTCACTCAGTCTCATTTCATGACAAGATCGTCACTATGGCGCAGCATGGCCCTTACTAGTCAGGAGGCTTATGCACGTAATAGAGCCCAAATCTGCAAATTATGAAGACATTTTTAAGGGTCAAATCTGGGTTTCATATGTTTCCTCAACTAAAATTTTTTTGAGGAGCCTAAAAATTTGACCCCGGGAAACCCCCCCCCCCCATGGGCCCGGTAAGAGACCCGAAACTGTTATTTGCCATATCTTTGCCCTTCTTTGGTCGATTTGAACAAAGTTAGAGTCGATTTAGGGGTTTTAAACATCAAGGAATCGATTGGAAGTGGTTTGGAACCTAAATTTCTTAAAGGTCACGTGATAGCGTTCCTTCGGGTTCACCTCGCGGGCCCGAAAACGGTTTTTACATATCTCGGCTATTTTCTCAAAAAGTTTAAATTTTGGGGGTTTTGAGGTCAAGGGATTTATTAGATACACATGAAACACTTTCAGACTCCTGGAAATTGGTTTTACCTGGTGTAGTACACTAGTCAAAATTGACAGACTGACAGTCCGCAATCGTCCTCGGTCACTTGTTACATACACAGCCCACACTGACTGCATATCATCCTGTACATGTTTCAATTATTCAGATTTGTGCACTTCCTGGTGCAAGTGCAGAAAGAAAGGCACATGACATTGTTCTTAGCTCATTTGCATGACTGGCACTTGAGTGTTCGGCAGCGACAAATGCCAGTCACGATCTCGAGGTTTGGTCTTGCTGCGTCCGTGGTCCATTGAATGTGGGGTTGGTTCTGATAGAGTTTCCATCCACACATCTCAAGAGGAGGGCTGGGGATCTGAGTGAGGGTGTTACCCGACCCATAAAATGCATAAGCAATGCATTCTCTAAGATAGCCCTGGACCAAGCACAAGAAAACACAACAACAAGAAAATCAAATCAACGGCTGGGTACATTGATCTCGTAAATTGCGAGGACAAAGAATATCTTCGTAAGCTTAAACTCTGCCTGCCAGAAATTCAGCAATATTTGTCTGCAATAGAGGGGCCTACATTAGCTCAAGGTCACAAGGAGATCACCCCTTCCTTTATCCGCAAGTTCATAATCAGACTGTCGAAAGGTCAGAGTAAAATTCTTATCAATCCATTTACCTCAGAATTGTTGGAAAGACTGAATTCCTCCTATATCTCCCCAGAGGTCAATTGTCGATGATGCAGGAAGGGTGTTCACAATTGGAGTGCAAAGTATGATGAGTTTCGTCGCACTAGATTCGTTCTATGGAAGTGAAGATGTTATCAAATCAAAAGGTAACAAGAAACATGCTGAAGCTTCCATCCGAGCAGTGCCGATGATGTCGATTTGAGAACCTCGCATCAAGGTCACCCCAGCAACTGTTCAACAAATTGAGAGATGCTTGCAGAAACCGTGAATCGGAGACAAAGAAACTTTTCGAGGGGGAGATAACCGGATTACCTGAGTGCTTCATCAAAAAGGATGGAACCCTTATCACAGTTCAAAGTCACAGATTTTGGCTGACATCACGCGAGAAACGCGTTACACCAAGTCCAACAAATGTCAAAGGTCTCGTTGCTGACCTTTCAGTGATCATCCGAGCGCAGGCTGCAGTCCTGTCCAGAGGGTCAACCTTCAATGAATTTGTCTCCAGGGTCCTGCAGAGCATTGATAACACTGCTAAACGCCCTGGGCGCGGTCTGCGAATCAATATTGTACAGACCAGTAATAACCCGTTATAACATCAAAGCCGCCACCCGCTCGGAAAAAGGAAGTCAAAGGTTCAGGACAACAAGTTAATTTACTGGTGATAATGACACTGTCCGAAAGGATATGTCCAAATCCTTTTCAGCAGATGATCAGAACAGAGAGCCCAGACTTAATGCACTAATTGCGGAACCTGTGGTAACCGCATCCTCAGCTGGCCTGGAAGAAAGATTTCTGTGTCACTAATGTCTTGGAAATGTTCTACATAACAAATGCTGGTGAAAAGGACTATATACCATGCCAAAGATGGAAACCCTAAGAAGAAGCGGAAAACAGGATGGTGTGGGGCCATGTAATTGACATGTTGGCATGTGGTTTTATCGGCGATTGATTGTACGGACAGTTGATTCGAACGATCATTGTCTATTCTCTCGCCTTTATGCCCCAGTTCCTCAAGATCGACCCTGACTTTGAGCTTCATGTTGATTTAACCCTGGAAGAACGGAAGAACATTCATGTCAATGTTTGTTATGAGTCACTAGAGGAGAACGTCTGCTTAGCCTTGCCATTCTCCAATGCTCACTGGCGCACGATTCGAACCTGCTCTTTCTACAAGCTGACCAAGAAGATATGTGGGTTTCTCATGGAATAAGTGCTCGATGAGGGATGAACTGACAGAGGCAGTTAACAACTAAGCTGGTACCCAGCATAACCAAGTAATCCTCAGCACAAAAAAGATACTTGTAGATTTTGTGTGCTATGTATACTCAAAGAGGGCTGTGTACGAAGATCGTCAATGAACTGGCGGTTCTCAATGTTCCAGGCCTCAGGTTCTGATGAGTTTAAAGGACGCTCCCACCTTCATTGGATTCCTTCAGACTGGCGGTACGTCGCAGCGCCTATTAGGCAGGATGGGTGTGGGATAACACCCTCACTCAGATCCCCAGCCCTCCTCTTGAGATGTGTGGATAGAAACTCTATCAGAACCAACTTCACATTCAATGGCCACGGACGCAGCAAGACCAAACCTCACAGATCGTGACTCAAGTGCCAGTCATCAAATGCGCTAATAACAATGTCATGTGCCTTTCTTTCTGGCACTGTGCACCAGGAAAGTGCAAAATCACTAATTGAAGCATGTACAGGATGATATTCAGTCAGTGTGGGCTGTGTATGTAACAAGTGACCGAGGACGATTGCGGACTGTCAGTCTGTCAGATTTTGACTACGTGTACTACTACCAAGTGAAACCGAATTTCCAGGAGTCTGAAAGTGTATCATGTGTATCTAATAAATTCTTTGACCTCAAAACCCCAAAATTGACTCTAACTTTTTGAGAAAATAGCCGAGATATGTAAAAACCTATTTTCGGGCCCGCGAGGTGAACCCGAAGGAACGATATCTCGTGACCTTTAACAAATTTAGGTTCCAAACCACGTCCAATCGATTCCTTGATGTTTAAAACCCCTAAATCGACTCTAACCTTTGTTCAAATCGAACACAAAGAAGGGCAAAGATATGGCAAATAACAGTTTGGGTCCTTACCGGGCCCATATGGGGGGGGGGTGTTTCCCGGGTCAAATTTTTTGGGCTCCTCAAAAAAATTCTTAGTTAAGGAACATTATGAACCTCAGATTTGATACCCAAAAATGTCTTCATAATTTGCAGAATAAATGTGCATAAGCCTCCTGACTATACCCGGATTTACGCGGTTTTAATTTAAGAGACATCAATATAAGTACGCGGACAGTCGAGGAGTCCATCGAATTCTTACAGTCAGTAGGGCTCATCAAGAGGGTCCAGCTATGCGCTAACTGCGATGAAGAAATGAACCTAACGCGATACGCATGACGTGCCGACCAGTTTGTGTTTTGCTGCACAAGGCAGCAGTGCCGGCGTATGAAAAGCATCCGCACGGATTCTTTTTTTGCGAGAAGCCACCTTGCTCTCCATACGGTAAGATGTTTTCGTGCATTTGTATGTGCAATAATAACAACCAATGTATAACAAACAGTTATATTCAACAATATATAACCCACGCCACAAGCGCAGTTACTGCCTGTAATTATGCCTCAATAAATAATATTAAATTTTGGTGTTTTTCATTAATAATTTATTTGTAATATTAATAGTGTTACATGTATAATATATATATATATATATATATATATATATATATATATATATATTGGGAATATAATGGGAAACCTTTAAAGATGGCACGTTTCGAAAACAATTATACGTGCGTGCGTGCGTGCATGCACGTGGGTGCCCGTAACGAATCGTACAACGTCGATATTCATGTTCTCTTTTATTGTGTCACTAGATCGTGTCATTCATCTATCTATGGTCCAAAGGCTTGAGCACCCAAGAAGTGCTTATGGGCGAACTTGGTTTAGGATCTGCCGGTACCGTAGTAGACTGGAAGCAATTCCTACGCGACGTCTGCGCGGATCACTTCCGCCAGAATCCCGTCATACTAGGCGGTAATGGTAAGAAATACCGCCGGAATGCCGGTGATAAGATGTTTCCGTCACATCACCAAAACGTCGCCGACATCTTGGTGTCACATTAAGTGCATTGGAGGCACATATGATAATATCTGCGTATAATATATTATGCGCTCTATTATTAATAATAGATCAAAGTAAAATGAATTGTATTAAATGGGTGACGCGAATCACAACATTTCAGCAAATTGCAGTGTCCATGATTCGTAACTTCCGAGAACTGACTAATAAATTTAATAATAATAACAATCAGAGGCGGATCCAGGCTTTAGAGAAGGGGGTGGAAAACAGGCGGGGGTATCGGGGTCCTCCTAGAAAATTGTGAAAATGTAGATCGCATGAGATGGTATTTGAGGCACTTTTGAGTACATGTACAGCCTTCATTCTTGCTATGACAATTCTCTTTTTAGTAGAACAATTCTTGCGCTTGCGGCGCTGCATTGATTGATGTACAGGGGGGGGGGGGCTTTGTTTGAGTCGCGTTCATTATTGAATATTTAGGGGGTGACCACCCGTGGTGGGATGAGGGCGACAGCAAAACTCTATCTTGGAATTGTGAAAAAAAGCTGCAAAAGATCGAGTTGTAACCTGCTTTGCCACTCAGCCTACATAATTTAACCCATGCATCAGGTGCCGTTATGTACAGCCGCGCGACTATTATACTTGGCAACAATTAATTGGTATAGGCCCTATGTGTAAAAATATGGTTAGCTCAACAGAGGGGGTGGTTAGCCACCCATTCCACCCCCCTGGATCCGCCACTGAACAATACTATTACTACTACGGCTGTTGCGGCACTACCACTACCACTACCACTACCACTACCACTGCTACTACTACTACTACTACTACTACTACTACTACTACTTCTACTACTTCAGGGCACATCGTTGAAGTTGACGAGTCGGTATTTGGCAGAAGGAAATACAACCGAGGGCGGCGCCTTCAAACCCAATGGGTACTGGGGGGAATAGATCGAGAAACACATTCGACGTTCCTCGTTGCTACCTTCATACATGAAGGAGTGCATGTGGAGGCTGCGGTATGGGGGCCCGCACGCACTCCACCACATTGTGGAGCATATACAGGACGCCTACTCGTTATGATTGTACGTTTTCGGTGAAACTCGGTTTATGCGGGGGGCATCCTACACGTCTCAGATGGTGTTGGGACCTAAAAATCTTTTGGTTTAACGCAAGATTCGGTTTTGAGCGCGTTTGGGATTCAGAATGTTGGCTGTAATATTATGTACTGTCCAGCGTTATATGAGGTTATCATTGAACATAAAATGTATGAAGCATATTTTTAAACAAAAAACTAGCATGACTACGTTAAAGAAGTGTGAAGTATGTGCAAGCGATGTGTTGTTATTATTGGTGACGTATTAGTATCGATAACATGTTTTAGTAATAAAAGGCATGTACAGCTAGTTCAAAAAATAAATATATAGCTTTGGTTTTGTGTTACTCTCTTGTTTGCTCCTATTGACAGTATTGTTATGGAATCATATTTTGAAATACCACCAGTTTATAAATTTCACGAGGTTGCATAGTAGGCTGTTACCTTCTAGTTCTTTTTCCCCATCTAGTACAGACTACAGATGAAATTAAACATCTATAAAAATTTAAAACATTAAAAATAAAAAATTTAATGTAGTTGCTGGATAATTTCTGCTGCCAGACAACTGTGCGCTATAGCTGTGTGCTATCATCAGAGTACACCCTAACCCTAACCATCACGGCTTCTTCTCTCCCTCTAACCATCATGGCTTCCTCTCTCCCTCTAACCATCAT